TGGACTGTAATGTTTGTCCTCCTCTGCGCGAATCGCTGGCGCGGCTTTCGTTTTGATGACCCTGCTCTGCCTCTGTCCCTCCCCCATCCTCTCCCTACCTCTGCTCCACACAATTATTATGATAATGATAATGCTGATGATGATATGACTCATTAACCTCAACGCATGACCCAGGCAAATTAGAACTCTCTGTGTACACAAGTATATGAAGAAGAAGATGAAGAAAAACTCGTCTCAACTTCAAGTCTCTGCTTAACACTGTGCTACAGGGGTCATCTTTTTAAAGCAGCTGTTCTATTCCACATATTTGTAATAGTCAAAATATTATTTAGCATTTGCTGAAGTACATGAATGGGATTCCAAATCATACATAGAAACTCTATAATTTATTTTTAAACTTTACTTTTAATTCTATTCGTAAAAGAAATGGGTTTCTAAAATAGTAATTAACATTTATGATGTTGTTAATAAAATTTTTCTTGCTTTCTTTGATATTTTTGTTAGTAGCTGACTTTTTGGGAAACAAAAATTTGTAATTATCTTACTAACAGCTGTTAAGATAAAAGTTTTGTTAGATTAACATAAAATGCACATGTTAAATCTTAAATGCATCAAAAGATGTATAATAAAAAGGATGTTTTGCCTACTTTTGTTGCTTTTTTTTTAAATTAACAATTTTTTAACAATTAGTTTAACTTTTTCAATGATTTACATTGATTTCGTGACTAAAACTCGATGGTAAGTTTGAAATGCAGCAAAACTGCGTATGTTGTTTAGTGTAATTTCCTGAAGCGCATATGAAAGATACATATATTACCATACACAACGCATGTGTGTGTGTGAGTGTGCGGCTTTGTGCGGAGTGTCTTTGAGGCCGTGTTTTATTGCTGTTTTGTTTGCTTGTTGACTTTTTTCCTATTTCCTTCTCTTTTTTTTTTTCGCTGAGTCAGCTTCGTTGCGGTTCGGCATTAGGAGATATGATACGGATCCAAAGCACTTAGCTGACATATTTGCCGCACATAAAAATTTCTTTGTAAAACTTAATGGTCTAGATAAAGTTGTAAGTTTCTAAAACTGAGCCACAAAGTGTCGGCGAGCGCTTAGAATTTAAATAAGTGGAAAAACTTTGACGAGGTGGAAAAAAAAGAGACATAAAAATGAAAATATGATGCGACCCGATGATGATTCAATTGCATGGTTAATGTTTTCGCAATTCGTCTTTCGTTTCAGTTTGAAGTTGCGGCATTGCCTTTATACCCTGCACGAAAATGTAGGGAAAAGGTGTTATACACAAATGGGGCCATGCTTAAAGCTTTATTCATATAACTTTTTATTCAAACGTTCTCGTTTAGACGATTTTATCAGATCAAGCAAGGTTTTTAAAGGGAAATGTTCTGGAGCTCATATGAGTATGTAGAATATCTTCCCTAAAAATTCCAACAAATAATACAGAAATGATTAATCGACTTACCATTAAGTGGAGAGAGTATAGTAATGTATGCCTCGTTATATTGGTACAGGGTATCAGCTAGTTGAGCACTTTCAATTGGAGCAGTCTTGTTTTGCATTTCGCAGTTTGCAATTTGAACTGTGAGCCACACACACACCTTGAAAATTTGTCGTGCTTGGTGCTTTTGGCATGTTGCTTACAGCGGAGCTGCACTGTAATCCGAGGCGTCTCCGTTTCCCACGTTTAGTTAGCTCGAGTACGTGGCTACGTTTTATCAGCTGCATTGAGAAATCTGATGAAATCAAGCCCAATTAACAACGGCTTCTTTTGTATGCGAACCGGAACCCGAGTGCATCTGTTTAACTCGCGACTCTGCTCCTTGCCTTGAGGTGGGGCCGAATTTCATGAAATTTCAACTGTTTATTACAAGTATCTTAAACGTTTTCAGCATTATTTCGCTCTCTTGTCGAGCTGCAGCTGCCACAACTGCAACTGGCACAGCCACAGCTCATGTTGCTGTATTTATGTTTCGCTTTGTTATTCTTGATTTGTTTACACTGCGAACATAAACTAAACAAGCGCCGCTGCTGGTGGCAAAAAACAAAAACACTAGAAAATATCAATCTATTGAAATTTTTATAGCCTAGCGTAAACAGATCAATATGCTTTAGAACTTTACACTTTACAGAGAATTTATGTCAGAGCTTAGCCATGTTACAGATTTCTATATTTTATTTGATTTGTTTTACAAACTTATCTATGGAGATTGTAAGACAGAGACTTTCGATTGTATTTCAATATATCATTGTATGTTTCGTAATGCTGAAGAATGTCTGGAAAGAACGTCTCCTTAGCTTAAACTGTAAAAAATTACCCAGCGTTGTCTGGTTAAAACTGGATATGATGCTTGATAGGAGGCTGAAAAGACTCTACAGGCTGATCGGCAGAAAATCAAAACTTAAGCCGAGGGCGAAGTTGTTGGCTTGGAAGATCATAATCAAACCAATATACACTAATGGATAAAACAACGCATTCTAAATAAAGGGAGCTCCACATTTCCTGGGTTAAAGAGGAAATAGCAAAGATCTGTGACCAGACGACTCAACCTGCTTGATAACAGCACAACAATTAGACGGCTCAAGAGGAAGCACCCTCTTGAACTCCCCTAAGATCAAGAAACACAAGCCCCTCCTTCCCCTACACATACCCAACCTGCCTACTCATCCCATCCAACCCAAAAATTTGTGCAACTAATGTATCTATCTCTTAAAGTAAAATACGAAATATTTATCTACTAGAAAATCGTTTGTTTTAACTTGTTAAAAAGCACGTATTTACTAATTTAAATTGATGAAAAACAATTTTGTCTTCACGGGAGCTCGATTCCATTACTTTGGGCCACTTCTAGTCAATGCATGATGTAAATTAAATTTCTAACAATTTTATAAATATTTACTTTGCATTTACATTCTTCTTAAGCTTCTAATCTAAGCGAATTCAGTAGGGATAACTATTTGGTTAATAGAAAACTAAATAAATGATTAAAAACCACGAAATCGACTTTCTATAAAGTTAATTAATTCAACAACAATAACGTGCTCGTAATTGTTAACCCAAAAACATTGATTAAATTGCTTGTGACTTTGTCGCTTTTCTTCATAATTAAATTGAAAGCCATTTCCTAGCTGCAAATCACAAACAAACATTTTTAGCTTCAGCTGCTAAATAACCCGCAATCAATTTGCGTTTATTTTAGCTGCAGCTGCAACGACCTCACCTGGAAAATGTCAGACTCCACTTGGTTGGACACAGCCCAAGGTTTTTGTTGTTGCTCTTCGTGCTGTTCTTGTTGTTGTTGACATTTGTGAATGCATTTAATATATTGCCAGATTCTTTCATAGTGTGAGCTGAAGCTCCTGCAGAATTTCCATTTTCCCCATTTTGGCACCACATAAATAATGTGCCTTAATTACTGCGGCTTAACAGGAGAGACCTTAATAAAATCGAGACAGGGGCCGGGATATAACAAGTAATTGGGCTCTAGACCGAAGTATACCCTGTACTTTACTTTCTCCAACAACTGCCGTGTTTATTAGAGGAACAAAGAGTGTAAAACCTATCAACATTAATAAGCAAATAAAGTAAATAGACAATTGCTCCTAGATTTGAACCAGCTACTTGCTATTTGCTAGTCCGATGCTCTCAATCAGAAAACAGAAGAATAAACATGCATGAAATTAATCGAGTCATATAAATAGAGAAATGCTTTCTCGCATAGCTTGTGAAACCCGTTTCTTTTAAACATTAAATGCAGGGTATAAATAAATATATAACCAAAAAAAAACGTACGACCAACTTTTGGTGGGGAAAAAATGAGCGCATTAACTGTAAATGTGCAAGTAAATCGTGTTAAAAAGAACTTATCATTTGCATTATGGCCCGTTCCGCATACCAGCTGCCCCTTCTCGCCCGTTAACTATTAATATTTAATTGCTGCAGCCTTAATTATTGATCAATTGGCAAAGTCAGCGGACACGCAAGGAGCAGCTCTCAATTAAATATGGGGAAAAAAGGAGCAAGAGAGAGTAACTAAGAGAGAGAAAGAGAGAGGACGAGAGAGAGCGGATGCAAAATGCGAGAAATAAAAGCAATTTCCGAGTGAAGCCAGCAAATTACATGCCAAAAACACTAGACAAAAAAGTCTTAGAGAAAGAGAGAGAGAGAGAGAGGGAGAGGGAGAGTGGGAGACGGGGGAGCGTGTGTGAGAGCGGGCGGAGGAAAAACTGACACTAAATTAAGCGCCTTTGACACTGGAAAATGCAGTTTGCAAAAACACAAAAATTCTTCACCCTTTTTTCTTTTTATTCGAAATAAAACGAAAATTAAAATGAAAATTGAGAGAAAAATGCGAATAGAAAGAAAGTGAAAATGCAGTTTGTGCTGCGTAAAGCAAGCAAAGGGTGAATCTGCCCCAGAAATTACGAGCATAGTTTTATTTTAGTTTATCACACCACACGAATTGAGCTTGCGAAATGCGTAGTTTTTGGATCACAAACAGAACGAGAAGACGGGAATGACGGGCACAAGGACCTTGCTGTGCAGATGGAGATGCATCAATTGAAAAGTATCCAGAAAAGAAAATGGCCCAGAGAAATCGGCAACGTTGAAGGAGATGGCAAACGTTGACAAGCGTTAAAGGCGCCCGAGCAGGGCCAAGCGTAAAAGGCGCCCGAGGAGGGACATGTCACGTGTAGAGAGAAGCAGTACACACATATGTGTATGAGTGCTTGCGGGTATGCATGCATGTGTCTCTGTGTGTGTCTGTGTGTGTGCGTGAAATCCTTTAAAAAGGCAATTTCGGGTAGCACTTAAATGCAGACACAGACACAGCCACACACAATCATGAGGCAAAAGGACGAGCGCCTGCGCAGGGAGGAGAACCAAATGTGATTGACAGTGGCAGGGGGTGGGCTGGTGTGTTCCTGTGCACGCATAACTAGTTGCCATGCCGAAGGGCGACGGGCCGTAGAGGAGAGGTGCGCGGAACCTTTTATGCCTGTGCCTTGGCATGTGGCATGTGGCATAACTTGCCAATATAAACCGAAGCTGGCGTTGACAGGATGAGGAAGCCAATGCTGCTGCCGCCGCCGCCGCCGCAGCGCGCTACTATTGCCGCCAGGATGCTCGCGTTCGCATATCCTGCAACGTATAAAATTGTGTCACAATAATTTTGCACGCCTCGCCTGCAGAGAAACTTGCCGGCATCAATGCAACTGACAGGATGCAATGCGGCTTGAATGCGGCATGCATTGCATAATTGCAATTAACACGCAGCGATAGCGGCGAGAGGATGCTAAGAACACAGTTACTTAGTGTAAGCACAACATCCTTTATAAGGATGCGAGCACATCCCAGCCCCTGCCTGGGCCTGTGAACGGGACGCTGCCCAGCCTCGCCTCGTCTCGTTGTGTGCACTCAAGTGTGCGGCGCAACACTCAAATAGAAGAGAGTGTACAAAATACTACAAAAGGCGCATTCAAAAATTCACATGAATTCCGAAGCGAAGCAAGGGGCCAGGCAACACGGCCATAATCGAAGTAGTTCAGCAAAGAAAAAAGAAAAGGACACATACATATATGTATATCTATATATACGAAGCATAACTGAAACTGAACAACAAAATCAACGCCATCTGACAACACAAAGAACACTTTGGTGCAATTTGTGTGTGTGTGTGTGTTTGTAGGGGAAAATGGAAAATGTTTGTCTCTTTTTTAATTTTGCACAAATTGTTGAGTGTTGCCACAGTAGATATTGGCTAAATGCAACAAAATTGCAGGGGAAAAAAAAAAACAGAAACAGAAACTCGATTAAAAGGGGATTAAGTTCTTAACATAAAGATTGTATGGGGTTTTATTAGCTTTGATTCCTCGGCCTTTTAACGGGGTTTTAGTTTTGGTTTGGTTAACAAACTGGTTTTCGTTTAAGGCTGTTTCTTTTGACGGGATCTGTGCTTTACTTATGCAAAAGGCTTCTAAATAAACATGTGCCTAAAAAGCTTTGTCATTTTATTCAGGTCCTTGAGTATTACAATCAACATATTCATAAATTGCTTAAAATGACACGACAAGAAGCCAAATCGCGGGCCCATCTTAAGTCGAGGCAATATACATAGAATAAACCTGAGTGTATCTCTTTCTACGTGTATTTCTACTTTGAAAATTTTCAAATTAATTGAGAAAAGAGCTTCTCTCTGTTAAAAGTAGCTTCTCTTTGTTAAGAATATTTTGTTCAACATGATATCAAAATCATTCACCAAATCGAACTAAGAATTATGGTGACTTCTATTACCTATCAAGTTTTGAATACTTTATTCAACATAATAACACAATTTACCAAAACGTAGTCAGAAAAAATCACAGCCTTCTGCATGTCCAATCATTAAACGGTATATGTCTAAATGTAGCATATATAGAATATTCCTCCTAATTTATAAAATACCTTTTGGCAACTACATTAAAAATACCTGGCATTGAAATCCGAACCTAAGTCAACATATTTTCAAGAAATATTTTTGTAAACACTCAAAAAATTCGATGTGGTTTCTTTTGCGACAAACTTTGAATTCCCTTACAATTATCTTAGCATTTTTCTGACAATTTAAGTATGCTAAATGTAAGATACCCCGTAATGCCCGCAACAAATGTCAATAGTTTTGATAGGAAATTTCACTGTAAACCGAATTGCTGGCTTTTACATTGTACAATTTGCCTCAATAACACGCCAGGCGAATCGAGCAGGCAACTAACCGCGCAACCAGCCAGGCCAACTAGGGTGCCGTTTCCATCCAGCTACATCTTTTGCCCCCGCCCTTCGTCCCTTAGCCAACCCCTGCGCGTGCGTGTGAAACGTGTCCGGGACTCTTGCCTCTGTGTGGCAGCAGTTACTTTACTTTGGTGGCAAAAACACAAAAGCGGCAAAAACTGCACACCAAAAAAAAAGGAAAAAAAAAGTAAGAATATTATATTTGTATAATGGCACATGAGCACGAAATGAGCAACTCAAGAGTGCAAGCGAGATAGAGAACGAGAGAGTCTCAGAAAGGAAGAGTGGGAGAGGAAGCGAGCTAGAGCTAGGGGTAACAAGTGTGCGGGGAGAGGAGGTTGCAGGCATTTGCTTTCAACGGTGTGATATATTTTATTTTTATTGATTATTCGCTATTCGTTGCCGCCTCCTTCAACATGTACAAATTTCCCATAATATTTTTGTTTTAGCTGCAAAAAGTGCAGCTTGTCTTTTTGTTGTTGTTGTTGTTGTAGTTGCTGTTGGCGCTTGGCAAGGATCTAACATGCCATGGACACTTTAATCATGCTCATATTTTATGCATATGTGGGTGGAGCTCTACCACGTACTCATAGAGTGCGACGAGCTTTTGAAAAGGAGCATATTTGTTATCGGTGAATGAAGTATTGAGCTTGTGATGTCCTTCGGGATCTCCTCTATAAAACTGAAGTTGTCTCAATACTTAGCGAAAAGTGCGTTAATCATTTACTTATAATTTGTTTTCATTTGTATATTTGCCTTTGAAATCATCTTGATTTGAATTCAGGCGGAAATCATAAATGAAAGGTTTTCTACAAAATGTATAACAAAAATTGCTGATTTAAAAACTAGTCACTAATTTCTGATTTCTAAAAAATATGAAATATTCTACTGTTAATTGGAGTTTATTATTTCTTTTGTAAAACAAAATAGTCTGCTGTCTTTACGGCGTTGCGATCCCTTAACTTCGTGCTCAGTATGCCTGCTAAGAACCCTGCGCATTTCATGTGACTTTTATCGTAAAAAGGTTTTTAGTATCGAAAGCCCCTTTTCTCTATTAATTTCCTGAATATTCTGTCAGCTTTCTTGTACATCATATGCTTTCATTGTACATAACTTTCTATTGTCGGTTGTACACTTCATGTGCGTAGTTAAATGTTAATTCTGACTAAATGAAGGTCTCTGTTTTATTTCTCATGACAATTTTTCTTTCCTGATAAACTTATCTTTGTATCAAATATTAAGTTAGCTGGCTTGAGGTCCGCAGCTCAATGAAAAGTACTCCAAAATCAAAATTATATACATATCTGTGTATTAAAATTAAGTACAATAGAAAATCAAGTCCATAAGTAGGGTGTCTTATGGTCAGTCATGCTCAACTAAACCGCGTCAAATTGTTTCAAGTTGTTCCCGATACACTGCAACGCTTCGTTTCGCATAATGACAGCTACACAAACAACAACAAATGCAATTTTCATAATAAACCAAAGCCAGGCGACATGAATAACAACAAACAACGGCAACAGCAACAACAACAAGCACCTTGACCCAAATGCGCGTTGCCAACGCAGCAAATTTAGCAACACTCCACACGCTCCACCCCCACTCGGCAGCAGTGCCCCCTTAAGCCCACGTTAGGCCCCCATTTATCTTTTGGGTTACTCTTATTTTTAATTTGTCTAAACATTTTTTAGATGCCTTTGCAACAAACGCAACAACAACAACAAAGACAAGTAGAGCATGTTGCCCGGACAAAAAAGGCTTTGTTTGCGTTTTGCAGCTCTCTCTCGTTTCTTTGGGCGCCTTCTGCATAAACAACGGACAAGTCCCTAGTCAAAAAATAGAAGAAAAAAAAGGAAATCCTAAAAAATCTGAAAAATATAAAAAATGCATACGCAAATTTATACACAAAACACCCTAGAACAACACAGATACACATGCATAGTTATAGACATGGAAATACACAGATACATTCCCCCATGTGTGTGTGTGTGCGTGCATATATGGAAATTTGTTGTATAAAACATATATTTTATGCACTGTCGTTTGGTTTGCCATATGCAAAAACTTTGCTCAACCAAATGCATGTGGTGAAATTTGTATCTCTATGAGCACTTTTTTTTTGGGGTCTCGTTATATGCTCTTGTTAAAGAGGTATAACTACTTCAATATCTGGCTTGGACAGGCAATACTTGCTTATACTTGAAAGGGATAAGGTTAAGGTTTTAAGATTCATAATATGTGGGGTACAGCTAAAGAGTTTGGGGTTAAGAACGTATACGTATTTGTTTATTATGAGTTGATTTGCTATTTTAAAAAAATAAAAATTCAATAATTGTACACAACCAATTTGTCCCAAAATATTTTTAAAATATATAATTTTTATATTTTTTTTTAATATATTCAAAACAAAGGCAGATTTCATACCAAGAGAGAAAATATCTGGCAACATTTTATGCGATTGTTCTATCTTTATTTCTATTAAAATTTTTCTGCGTCATTTTAGTTTTTCTTCTTAAAATTCGTATCTTCTTCTATATGTTTTAACTGATTACTTGTTTTTAGGGCATATAAGTTTTAACCTTGTTGAGTTTTGTATAACTTTCCGGCCCTTTATTATATGCATATATTTTTGAGTCTGGTTTTCATCCGGTTATTGCTTTGTGTGTGTGTGTGGTTTGGGGTTCTCCCAACTAGATTTGCTTAGCTGCAGTTTTATGGGAATTCCATTTTTGCGGCGCCTCGCCTCTGCTCGTCTGCTTGGCATATTTTACGCATATTTCGCCGGCTCCCTTTCCCCCATGTGGGTCTCAGACGGGAGAGAAAACTCTTTTGTAAGTTTTTAATTAAAGCGAAAGTGTCGAAAAGGCACGCTGAGAGACACGACACGACGACAGGCAGGACATGCTCTGCTCTGGGCAAGGATAGCTATCCTACATGCAGCTTTTTTTTTTTTGCAAATTGTTGCAGTTTAAGTTTTTTTTTAGAATTTTTTTGCCTTCTTTTTGTGCTGATCGATAAACTTGGCAATTTTTGGCTGAATCGCCTGCCAACTAGAAAACTTTGATAAAGCCTTTATGGAAAACTGCTTGGAAACGATTGAAAAGCAAAAGGATGAATTTAGAGCAGTGGCAACAATTTTGGCATTAATCAAGTTATCAATATGTTCAATTTATGCAGTCATCAAATCTCAGAGAAAAAGGGTCAAACTGCCAAAGTGAATAACAAGAATTTGTGATTGAGATGGGAAGTGCGGCGAGTGAAGAAGAGAAATGTGAAACAGCAGCTGAATGTTTCTAAGAGCTTCAATATAGAGCAAAATATTAATATTTATAAATCTTAATTGTAAAGAAATATTTAAAAAATACTATTTAAAC